CATTATTGCGAGCAAAAATTGTGTCTTGGTCACCAGATGAGCTGACCATCGTGCGTAAAGAAGGAGTCAAGGAAGGAAGTCCAGGAAGATCAATCCAAATAAAAATCTTTAAATAAAGTTATGTTTGGCAGAGTCTGACGTAAATCGTTGAGGCCATGTACGTTTTGGGTAGGAATCAACTAATTCTTCAGTCATCTTTCGTTCTGGTCACCTTTGCACCCCCATTATTGGAGACAGTGTCCCCTGCGTAGCTATCTGAAGGCATTGCTTTATATCTAAAAATACAAGCTTTTCTATCATTCATGGTCAAACTCAGAAATTGAAGAACCATTGTGTTTTTGCTGTCCATTCGTTAATTTTTTAGTCTACACGTTTTTCCGGTTGACTAAAGTAACTTATGAATGAAATGCATCGATTATGTCATCGATAAAAATCCCACAACGTCGAAACCAAAATATTTTTAGTTCCTTCTCGAAAATCAGGGAGCCAGGCGAAACAGCTCAATAATCACTTTGTGAATTGAATCATATCTGATTGGAATCTTCCAGGGCTGGAGGAACACACCCCACTTTTGGTAATATATGGAAAGCGTGTAGTTTTCAGAATTAGGCTCTTATTAGGACATAACGAAATTCCGCAAAAAGATTCTGTTGATACTGATGACTTCAATGCTTTAGGTTTGGCTCCCGGTCTGCACTGATATAATGGTAGATCTCAATCCGATTCCCCAGGTTCATGTTATAATATTCAAAGTTAGAGCCGTCTACGGGTGTGACATATTACTGTGTTCTAATGCAACGTTTTTCAAAATTATTTTAATATTCTCTGTAATCCGTTGACAAACTGGAACCAAAATCAAAACAGTTCTACAAAACAGCTTGTGAATACTACTGTAACGTACTAACTGTGGGTTGAATGGCAAGGGTTACCTGAGTATTTGCCCTGGTGTAGCCTACCATGTACAACGTGTTATTATTTTCACCAGGACACTACACAGTCATTTCGCTGTTTTCAACATCCTTCGATGTTCGAATACCTCGAGATAGTTAGTTACCTTGATGTGATTGACCGAATGGTCTCAGCTCAAATCAAATTGGTCTGGCAATCGATCTATCGCGCAAAAATCCACAGTGTGTTAGGTTTGAAAGTGATTGCTCGTCACATTACCAAATGACTTTTGTTAGCGATGCGATCGTCTGAGTGGTATTCTTAGAGCATAGGCTCGGTGTGAAGTTATGACTGGGTCCCTACACTTGAAAGCAATAGCTGTAATTTCCTCGAGAATGCACGTGCATTATGCTCTCCTCTATATACAATTCGTGATGAAATTTCTACCCATTCTGTTGGTTTTTTTATATTTCGACAGATGTGCGCATTACATTGCCATTTGTGACATTCATGATGGAACCTTGAGAGGGAACATTTTAAAACTGATGGGGGAATGAATTTGGGTAGATCCTGGGCGATTGACAACATCAGCAGGCAAAGATCTGCTTACAAGAGAATTGAAACGATTTCCATTCAGATCAGATTATTATCTCAGATATGAGCATTGGCACCATGGAACTGGGTAGATCACGCGCGTGAATCATGTGGTGCGATTGCATGTGAAATGAAACTATCGAATCACCAAATCGAAAACTTTTCCCGGGAATCATTGGAACGTAGTATTGCCTAGCCAGACAATCGATCATTACGATAAGTCCATTACCATCCGTTTTATAGCGATACCGTTTCCAATTCACTTCGATTTCGCTTCAGGCTGAGTCCGCATTCATTAGTGACTATACTGTTATTTTGTCAAAACAAACAACCTGTTTTTGAATAAATAATGTTGGCACACAATTGTTTGCAAAAGATAATTACAGCTCCGAACAAATTCGTACATTTCTTATGCAAGGAATCAAACATGACGCAAACTGCGACAAATCAGTTAATATTCAGATCAGAGAGAAAACCTGAAAAGTGTTACCATATCATATGGCCTCCTCATTCCCCACAAAGTCAAACAATCTGGCGTGTATACAAGAAATTCTTGATAACCACAGTGGTATGATGGACAAAATTCTAGAAAAGGAGTGGGGGTGGGGCGGGAACCAAAATCAGTCCCACGGGAAATAGGCTGATTGGTCATAAAATGTTGTGAACATGAAACTGGATTACATAACTTAAATAGCATCGCTTCGTTGAAGCATAAGAGATTGGTTTTACTGTTACGTAACCGGAGTTTGAACGATATAAGTGGGTTAACGATCTGTCCGGTTATCATGAGATATTTTGCGATTGATGACTCTGGATTTCTCTTATCAGACTGGCACCTAAGTTTTGCTGCGTCATTGACTGTATAACCATTTGTGAGAGTGTTCGGACACATGTTCAGACAGGAGTCGGATTTTTCTATCGATGTAGAAACAGGAAATGATAAAATCCTGTTCATATAAGTAGGGTTTATCTTTGCGTTCACTGTGTTAAACATTCCAGAATCGTTCGACATAATTTGTAATGCCTTTTTGCTTAGTTCTCACAGCTTTACAGTAAGAATACGTTAAGCTGATTCCGGACAAAAACGGATAATATGTCTCTGAAACTGCACACACACACACACACACACACCCACACACA